TTTTTTTTAAAAAAAGTCATTACAAGCTACCACAACCTCCCACTGGACAATGGTTCTGCTTGTGTGCCATCCAAAACTTATGTTCTAGGAAAGTGATTGTCAATTGCTTTTTTTCCCCTTTGAATATTTTCCTGGATGCATGTATACAAAGTTAAAGCATAAAGCATGAACTGTGCTTATATACGTATAGGCAGAACGAGGGGGTCAAAAATAACTCTCCATTTTGTGCCCTGTTTTTACTCTATTGTGGCATTGGGTGGCGTACAACATACCGTTTATCGTTTATCGTTTATTAAACTTGTATGCCGCCCTATTCCTGGAGGGACTCAGGGAGGCTAACAAACCAAAAGGAATGGGGACTATATAAAGAAAACAAAACAAGACAAAAGACAAAATACAGAAAATGGATTAAAAACTCTCAACAGCCACGCAATTCGAGTGGGGCTGGGAACTCATCAGCCTCAGGCCTGCCGGAACAGCCAGGTCTTAACAGCTTTGCGGAAAGCCTGAAGGGTGGCAAGGGTCCGAATCTCCATGGGGAGATCGTTCCAGAGGGCCAGAGCAGCCACAGAGAAGGTCGACATTGGCTAGCTGATGGAATCCGGAGGAGGCCTAATCTGTGGGATCTAATTGGTCGTAGCATACACCAACCTCCAACACCCACCACACAAATATAATGTCAAGGCATATAGGAAATATAAGTATGAAATATAGAATATAAAACCGTGTTCCATCACCATAATAAAAGCATATAAAAAGAGACTCAATTCAACTGATTTAATTAACATTCTTCACTTTCAGCTGATTTTTGAGATGGAGAGCATCTGTGGTACATTTAGGTATTTCCTGATAATATGAGAATTTAGGAGCTTTTCTATTCTACAGAATAATACAATAATACAATACAATAGCAGAGTTGGAAGGGACCTTGGAGGTCTTCTAGTCCAACCCCCTGCCTAGGCAGGAAACCCTATAGCATTTCAAACAAATGGCTATCCAAACATCTTCTTAAAGACTTCCAGAGTTGGGGCATTCACAACTTCTGGAGGCAAGCTGTTCCACTGATTAATTGTTCTAACTGTCAGGAAATTTCT